TTGAATCCTCGCGTCTGGTAGTGCCGAGCCAGCTTTGTACACGTTGTTGTCTTACCCGCACCCTGCAAACCGACGAACATGATCACATTGGAGCGACCCTTCTTCGGCCGGAAGGAGTCTGCACGCGGGTCCACCAATTTTACGAGCTCGTCGAAGACGGTCTTCTGGATCAGTCGCTTCTTGTTCACTGCGGCTGGGAGCGATGCGAAGTTTACGCTAGCCTTGATCGATTTGCGTAGGGTTCCAACGAGACGGACGTTGACATCGGCGGAAAGAAGAGCGGCGCAAATTTCTTTGAGCATGTCATCGAAGGCCTGTTGTTATATTAGCGGGCTGGCTTATGGGCCACACTGGACACATAGCATACCTTCTCATCGAGGTTACTGGACCTCGTCAGGTCATTGACAGCGGAGTTGATTCGCCGCCCAAGGTCTTGAAGAACCATGGTGAATATGTGCGTAGGTAAACAATTAGAAAATAAATTAGACTAAGACCGTAGTCGTCAATGATTTCGCGATGGTGGAGGGGTGAGGATGAAGCCCGTTGAGAGACCAGAGAGGCAATGTGGAGGGGCCAATCGGAGAGCCGATGGTTTCTCACCGCCCCCAAAAAAAGTTGTGATACGGGCACTTTTGGATCAGCGTCTTGACTTTCTTCTTTCCTTGCATTTATCGCAATATTTTTCTGTGACAATGCCTCCTGCTGTTTCCAAAAAACGCAAGGTCCTTGATGGCCTAAAGGGCAACACTGGTCGCAAGAAGAAGTTCGTCAAGCAGCGCTTCTATCACAGCAGCTCCGAGGACGAAGAAGAAGATGGCAATTTCAACCCCGTCAGTCTTGAAGACTCAGACGCCGAAGAGGGAGGTGTCACAGTAGCCAAGCCCTCGGCTCTCGATATCCGCATGAAGAAGGCAAAGACACAAGAAGAAGCACCCACACCGGAACCGAAAAAATCAGACGATAGCGACTCAGACTCCAATATCGGCGAGGAGATTGAGCTGGACGACGAAGACCTTGAGAATGACGACGATGAAAGCGACGCGTCTGATTCTGATGCAGATGATCTTTCCGACTCGTCTCCGGCCGGCAAACCCACAGGCGCCAATCGCGGCCGAGCTGTCCCTAAGCGCAACGACCCTACCGCATTCTCAACCTCCATCTCCAAAATTCTATCCACGAAACTTCCTACCTCCGCACGGGCTGATCCCGTTCTCTCGCGAAGCTCGTATGCTGCGAAGTTGGTCAACGAGGCTGCAGATGAGAAGCTCGACAACGCCGCGCGGGCTAAAATGCGCGCCGAGAAGAAAGAGGAAATGGATCGCGGCCGCGTCCGTGATGTGATGGGTATCCAGCGAGGAATTGCCGGTCCCGTCGCTGAGGAGGAGAAGCGGGTGCGCAAGATGGCGCAGCGTGGTGTCGTGAAGCTGTTCAATGCTGTGCGCGCGGCTCAAGTCCGCGGAGAGGAGGCGGCCAAGGATGAGCGCAAGAAGGGCACAATTGGTATGGGAGAGCGGGAGAAGGCTGCCAACGAGGTCAGCAAGCAAGGATTCCTTGAATTGATCAATGGAAAGAAGGGAAAGCCTTTGAATATCGAAGAGGCGTGAGCTGGATCTACGATTACCCATGGCATATTTCTGGCGTTGGAAGATATTTTTTTGTTATATATTTTGTCTACATTGCTTATGTAGAGAGTCTTGTTTGATAAAAATAGTACAGGAGATTTTCATTTTGCGATACCGCGCAAGTCCACCAGATGCATCGGACGAATATTACAGTACAAAGTCCTATTCGGCGTCCAAATAGGACGAATAGGACCACAAACCCCCGCTGTAACCATCTGGCTATTCGGATAATATGTGAGGGTTTTCCAGATCAAAAACAGTCCCTCCCGGGGTCTCTGCTAGTGTCTTTATTTCGACTCAAAGTCGCTTGCTTGGAGATTCCGTGTCATGGACGGCAATCGCACAACCATTCCGTCAAGATCCTTGGTCATAATCACCTGGCACCCCAGCCGGGAGGTCTCGGTAAGCCCGAAAGCCAGGTCCAACATGTCGTTCTCGTCGTCCGATGGTTCTTCCATTTTATCAAAGGTTTCCGGGTCATCCACAATCACATGGCAAGTTGAGCAGGCACAGGATCCTCCGCATGCACCTATTCCCGGGATAAAGTCAGAAATTTGGGGTCAAATAAGCATTATATCGGCTCAACTCACCTTCCATTTCAAGGTCATTTGCCTGTGCGATATCGAGTAGGTTATCCCCCTCGGCAACTTGGAGGTCGACCTTGGTGCCATCCTTATCGATGAAAGTCAAGTTGATCCTACAGAGTCAGTCAGAAATAGTACAACAGCGCAAGAACTGCGATCTGGTGGGCGTACTCTTCGCCGGGCTTGGGCGGCGTGATATGACCATGCGCAGCTTGTGCAGTCACTGAGAAGGCACGCCGGGCTGTATTATATCCTTTCCAAGGTGATTGAAGGGATCTCTGTGCATTGGTTTGCGAGCGACTGGGTGTTGTGATTCCGGTGTTCCTCCATGACCTTGAATAACTTAGGGATCTCCGCGATTGAGTCAAACAGATATCCCCGGTCTTAGGTACACGGCGCAACTGCTGACCAACTTCTCGCCAGAAAGCCATGTTGTAGAAGAGGGAATAAATAAATTAAAAGGGGATTTTGAAAGCCAACAGAGAAAAAAAGAGCATCCGGGCGAAAATGGAAGAGCGAGCGATGACCGTCCAATGGCCGCGGAGGAAAAAAAAGGACTGACAAAGCTTGGGCGTTCGGACATTCCACTCCTCCCGTTCTTCTTTCCCCGAACCACCTTTATCTCCGATCATCATCACATTATGGCGTCTCGTGAAGGGATCAATCCCTTGCGGCCTTACTATATCCCCCCGTCTGGCTTATCGCCCGCTTCAAATGCGCCTGCTGAAGTGGCATCGCCGTCGTCAGCCCAGGTGTTTGGCAGCACAGCGCGTGAGTTCATGCCGGACTTGGACTATGCCGATTATCTGGAAGCTTCACCCTCGGTGTCTGACTGGGCCCGCGATGCATTGAACCGAGCGCTTGTTCGCTACACCAAGGTTCTTACTGCACAGCCGTTCGACGTCGCCAAAACCATCCTGCAGGTGTATGTCGTACCAGACGCCGCAGAGGAGCAGTGGGATCGGAACTCGATGCCGGGTACTGAAGGAAGCTCTTATGATTCAGTAAGGAGGCTGTTATCTAAAGCTAATATATGGCTTTAAATGACTGACAGATTTGTGTATAGGACTCAGAAACATCCGATGATGAAACCAGTTACTTCACCTCAGCTGCCCCTCCAACGCCGAGCCCGAGTACACCTCGATCTCGTAAATCACACCACCACATCACCGACCGTAGTGGTTATATTCGACCAGAGTCTGCCGCACAGTCTAAACATGTCTTGACTCTCAAGAACTCGAACTCCTTGACCGAAGTTTTATCCCAGCTCTGGTCCTCCAGCGGGCCAACCTCCCTCTGGAAGTCCTCCAACTCTACATTCATTTACTCACTTCTCCTGCCCACCTTGAACACCTTCATCCGTAGTCTTCTATCGGCAATCGCTGGCTTGCCAGAAGAGGACATTTCCATGTCGATGACAGCGGACATTCTGACGGCATCATCCCCTCTGGCAACCCTGGTGGTGTCATTCATTTCAACCTCGCTATCCGCCCTGATCCTAGCTCCCATCGACACCGCTCGTACATTCCTGATGCTCACGCCAGCAACCCATGGGCCAAGGTCCCTTGTCCGAGCTATCCGCCAGCTCCCCACGCCCAACTGCACGATCCCTTCGCATCTCGTCCCAATCACGGTGCTTCATTCAAGTCTTCCTACCCTCATTATGACCTCGACACCACTCTTCCTCAAATCGTATCTGTCCATTGATCCTCTCCTAAATCCTAACGCATGGAACATGTGTGCCTTCCTTGTCTCAGGACTTGAACTCGCCGTGCGATTCCCACTCGAGACCGTGCTCCGACGCGCCCAGATCGCTACATACACATCCTTGAGTCTGCGCCAAAAGTACTCAGGCGGTAGCATCAGTACAGCATCTATTGATGCGTCCGATGTGGAAACCATTGTCCCTACCCCGCGGACTTACCGCGGTATCATTGGCACGATGTGGCATGTCGTTTATGAAGAAGGTGTCAGCTCGAAACCGTCCGAGAAGGAGCGCGCCAAGCAGCTCCTCGGCCAGCGTACCTCACAGAAGAAGCGACAGCAAGGCCAAGGTATTCAGGGCCTGTACCGCGGCTGGCGTATTGGCATGTGGGGTATCGCCGGCATCTGGGGCGCCAGTCTGCTGGGCGGAATTGCTGGAGGCAACGAAGATGAAGTGACGACAAGAGGTGGTCACGGCCGTTCCAGCGGTGGACTCTTCTAATCGACGCCGTCGAGCCATGAGGTCTTTGTCTTCGCCTTCCATTTGGAGCCACTATATCGCCACTACCGACCCAATTAATTATTCGTGAAGAGACATCCTCAAGTCTCCGATTTTCTTTCATTTCTCTATCCCTCTTACTTTACTGGTCGCGACAATCGATATCTTGAATCTTCCATATTGGCAAGAAGCATTTCCCCTATCGCATGCGTCATTGGTCTTCGGTCTCCACTCTCCTCTCATCCCTTTTGTCTACATCTTATACCCCAGTGAACGGATCCAGGGGGCAAAGTCAAACGGCGTCAAGTTTTTGGGTTAGCAGTCCCCTGTTCTGCAGTGCAAACCGTGTATAAAACCCTCCTTCATAACCACATAGCTATGTAACGAGATACAACGCAGCCCATCTCACTCCGGGCTTGCCGGGCATCTAATTCATTTGATGATTGCTTAAAAAAGGAAATTGTTTAGATTGAACTAGCGCTAATTTTACTACTGTATTATTCGAGACTACCAGCTTGGTTCAACTCGCCTTGAACAGATCCGACCGAGCAAGCGAGGCGCTTCCTTTGAGAAACAGTCTAGTCTAATGAACTAATCAAGTCTCTCCATCTTCTCTAGTCGATCTGCAAGTTGATAGTAAAGACCATTAACCGTCTCAACAACCCGCTTCGCCAATACCGGCACCCGTCCCACAACAGTCCCAAGCACCACACTCCAACTCAGATCCGGAATGTCATCCTCAACCACACGGCCCGGCGGCAGAGACGGGCTATGGACACTCACGTCGCGGTCTAATGGGACACTAAGACGATACTTCCAAACAACCTCCCCATCCACATACAACGAGTACGTCAGAACCGAGCTGCGAGCGCGAACAGGCGCAGCAGCGGTCAAACCAACATCTTCAACCTCGTCCGCGATATCAATAAGCCCGAACTTACTATTCCCATTCGGCGCGTACTTCACCATAACATCCTCGGAGTCTGTCTGGTGGTATGTACGGATGGGGAGGTAAAACATGCTCAATGGGCCAACGCTGAACTCATGCAGTCCCAGCCCGGCCGTGTTAGGCAACAGCTGATCTGGACCGAGTTTAAGTTCCGGGTCTGGGAACCTAGTAGCCCCGAATTCATGTCTGTCACCGCTAAGCATGACGATGCGAATGCCTAGATCGCGCTCTGCGCGCCACATTGCTTCGAAGACGGTGCGGCGCTCGTCCAGGAACCCGCCCCATGTATCTGTGGTGCCGACGTGCCAGTTCTTAGTGAAGGGGACGCTGGAGGAGATGATTTTCCAGTGTGTGCCGGCTGGCTCTGGGGTCGAGATGTACGCGAGGAGAGATTGGAGCTGGGACTGGCCGAGGATGGTTGAGTTCTTGTAAGAGGGCTCGGTGCGGTAGGTACGTGTGTCTAGCATGAAGAATGAGGCTGGGCCGTGGGTGAAGGCGAAGTAGGTTACGTTGTCTGGGTCGGCGAAGGGTGCTGCGGGAATGGGTGGGTTTGCTCGCACGTGGTAGTGGATGAAGGGGTCTGCTGCTGCGGGATACGGGGCGGTTGTGTTGCCTTGCGACCAGTCGTTTTCGATCTCGTGGTCATCCAGGGTATGCAGCCAGGGGAGGTCAATGGCGCGGTTGTCTTCTGGTCCGTGGGTCCAGGAGGGGGATGAGTAGATACGTCTGTACTCGCTACGGTAGTGTGACATTGTTGAGCCAAAGCGCCAGGGAACATCTATGTAGATGAAGTCGCCTAGGAAGAGCATGAATGATGGACGGAATAGCTTGGGCAGTTTGGCGAGGGCGTCGGTCATTTGCTCGAGGCCCGGGACCCGTAGTGGATGCGATAGTAGGTTGTAAGGGAAGTTTGGCTTCAGACAACTTGATGTTACAAATGATAGTCGGCTTGATTCGGAAGTTTCGGGCAATGGTGCCGTGGTAAATGTGCCAGACTTGTTGTTGGACAGCGAGTAGCGATACTGTGTCGCCGGCTTCAGGTCGGTCAGGGTCACAGTTGTAGTGAAGTCGGTGGAGTCATCCAGCTTGTAAACGATGCCCTCTTCATACCAGTCCTGGCTTAGGTCAGAGACCTCCTGGAACATGACCGCCACTGGTAGGCGAGCCGAATCCGGCTCGCGAAAGACCAAGTTGGCAGTGGTCGGGGAGACATATCCAATACGTGAGAATGCAACATTTGTGGTAGAATAAAGTAGAATACCACGGGTCAAGAAGTCAAGTGTCAGGACCGCCAGGGCTACATTGATTATAATTGTGATCCTGGTCAGCAGGGGCCACTTTGGAGAGGGCAGCCCTGTCAATAGTGTTTTAAGCACAGAATCGCCATCTTTGGCACGGCTAGACACGGAGTTATGCCCTGTGAAGCATGTTAGTATCTCAGATTCTGATCATTTGGAAGTGGAGCCTGACTATTCGAGTCTCGAGCTTTAGTCGTTTGGCTTTCGTGAGGCTGGGTATCCTTGAGCAAGGAGATTATTGACGACAGGTACACCACGAGAGAGGTAACCACGAGAGGCACAAAGTGATGGCCAGGGATCTGTAAATGCGTGAGTTTTCTGAAACACAAGGTTAACCTATGGGGACCTTATACCCATCGTAGAAATATGAAGCTGGTCAGTCGGATGATCGTCGAGCTCGTGGCCACAGCAATACGCCGTAGGGAGGCCATTATGAAAGGCAATATGACCAAATGTCAAGAGTGAAGATTACTTCATGCTAAATGGAAACAATGGAAACAATGGAGATGGTGAAGGGTGGAAGGTTGTCTTGGTGATTTCCTAGGGTGATGACGTATCCAGGGACCAGAGCGGCAATCGTATTGGTTGCTATTGAAAATCAACTCCCCGTGAATTGTATAGATGAATTGTATAAATAGTACAATTGATGTTATTGCCTGACCAGAAATCAAAGTTACTTACTTTAATTACATTGGTAGTACTTATAATTTAGGTGAAATCTGAGGCTAGTAACGCTCACGTGCAGTAGTTCTCTATTTAAAGCACATATTCATAAGAGAAATGCTACCGACACGCGAAAATTGCTACCGTCACGTTGCCCACCATACTACTTTAGGTAAGTCTCCCGCTGGCCGCAATTTTCAACCAGCCTTTGTAATTTATTATAGTATGATCGATCACA